CCCCAAAACCCCAAAACCCCAAAACCCCAAAACCCCTAGCAGGACATTTTAAGTTGAGATTAGAACTTAATATTAAAATGGTTTTTTGTAGCTAATGGATTTTAGTTTTGAATAAAATTATCTTGATTTTGGCTAACCTACAAATATTCTTAATTGTTGTTAAAGGGTATTTGTATCAAGTTAAGATCTTGAGATAACTTCCTATTATTACTTTTAATGCTCCAATGATGAAACTCCAATTGTAATAGCATTTCTTTGGACAATAAGCTAAATATTTTGATTCTAACAAGAGTATAAAGATCTTTGTATTTAATAGACTTTGTTTTAGAATTATCCAAAAGCTCTTCAAAATTTCAATACTCGTTTTTAATTTTGGAAACTTTCATGTATAAACTGCTTCTTAACTTCTAGAAGACACCAGCTGGTGCTTGAATACGTTTGGTTAGAATTTATTATTTATCTATTTGGATTTGAAAGTGCTTCATCAATATCATTCCTATATTCTTGAAGTTTAAGCTTGACTTCTTCTTTCTAAACATAATTGTTAGATTATCTTAAGCAGTGTGGTTAGGGGTTTAAAGTGATACTCACCCATTTTTTGTGCTCACTAGTTTCTTTTTCTCTAATCTCTTCGTGTTTCTTAATGGTTTCCTCGACTTGGAGCTCGAGATCTTCGCTTTCTCTCTCAAGGGAAAGGCATTCATGTTCTAATTGAGCAATTTTGTCAACTATATCACTTTTATTTTTGATCAGACTGGATTGCTTTTCTGGTTCCTGAGGAGATAGCGCTTTCGTAGAGGCTCTGGTAAGCCTGGATGGTCATATTTATCTCGTTTCTGACCTTGACTAGTAGGTACCCCCTGTCATTACAGTTGATAGTTATTTGTCTGATCATCTCATCGAAGCATTGGGCATATAACTCTTCACGGATTGGACAGATTCCTGTCTTAATAGCTTGCCTTTGGTCTAACTTAGTATTCAGCTCCTTTTTGAGGTTCACAACATCGACTCTAGTGGCAGGCGTTGCTGAGACATATTGTATCCAGAGCTGCCCTTTTTGGGTAAATTCTCTTGGTGGAAGAATTTCATTGAGGAGGTCTTCGTTACTCGTGGTAGCCGACTCTTTCAGTGGGGGAAGAGCCTTCTTCTGTTTCTTCTTACCTCCCTTGGATGTACTTACTAGAATAGGTGTATTGTATTTTACAAGGGAATGATCAGGTCGACTATTGCTCATGGTTTGTTTTAAACTTGAATTTATTATAAAATTATTTAACTTAAACTCAATTTAAAATAAAATAATCGGGGTTTTGGGGTTTTGGGGTTTTGGGGTTTTGGGG